TGAATTCAATTTGCCTCAGTGCATCTCAGTTAAAAACACATAAACAGCATGTGGCCAAACAGTTGCGCGTATTTCCAACCCCATGTGGTTACATTCACGAGTCCAAAGTGGAAAAGGACAAAGCTAATTGCACATCTGGTCCATTCTCCACACCAGGTCCACTCTGCTAAGCGGGCTGTGTTACCTACCTCTTTCTGTGTTTGATGTGAACAAACAATTAGGTATTGGAGAGTAATCAGATTGATTCATTTTTGCTCACATTGTGGAGTCATTATAGATATACCATTCAGTAGGTAAAATAAATCAGTGAATAATTTAGCTGTCTCGAGGCTAATGGCAGCACTCAACAAAGCCTCTGTTTGACCTCTTATTGCAGTTGGTGGAACCGCCTACAATACAATAAAGCATATAAACTATTCAAGTCTTTATTGACTGGTTGCACTGTGTTAATCAATCTTGGATGATTATTGTAATATCAACCAACAATATAGTGACTCTGTAAACCTACAGTAATGAACTGTTTTAACATTTTTAGGGGTTCATTTTATTGAAAGCCAAAAACAAACAAGTGGAGTTCAGCTGTAACTTACCAAGACACATACATAAACACACAGCAACTAAATCAGATAGAAGTGGGGAGTTAAAATGTGTTTTTCTAGCTGTTTAATATCAGCATTGTTTCTTTAAAGCTCCTCCATCAGTTTGCAGGTTGTTCAAGGTTTCCAGTCTTTCCGCCAGTTTTGCAAAATAACAGGTGAGCCGAGTGAAAATGGAAACGGTGCTTACTGTGTGCATTATTTTGTCTACATTAAGTACATGTCAGCTATCGGGACATCCTGAGTGTGCTCTGTTGGGTGTGATGAGGTTCATCTTCATGCTCTGTTGTATCTCATCAAATCCCTCCGTGGCATTTCAGTGCAACAACGTGGGGATTAATCTAACCTATGTTGGAAGAATTCATTTTGATTGGATTCATTATAGCGACTTGTTTTAATCACCGTGCGACTGTATTTTAGTGTGTGATTTTTCTCTGGATCCACGTTTCTCTGTTGACCCATCGGAAAACAACATCAACCCCCAGACAATTTGATCTCACCAACATCATCTCTGAAAAGAAAGCATACACATTTTACAAACAAAGTGCATGCTTTAGTAGCATTGACAGTGTGGCAAACAACAACTAAATCCAATAAAGCCACGATGTGAGGATAGACAGCTGAGCAGTAAACATATTATCTCCAACAAATGGTGCAGCTCTCATTCCTCCGTCTTCTGATTTTATTGAACTGCATTGTGTGCTGGCAGTGGCTCAAACATTGTAGGACATTTATGTTTTATATTCTAGCAAACTATATTAAAGCTTCGAGTGAATTTTAGTCTGGGAAGGTTCAGTGCAACACAGTCCGTCACAAAGTGTATTCATGGCAAAATCTCAATGGGTATTTTCTGTTGCTCAGCAAGAACTTCCTGTTTAGTATCTAAATGTTTATTGAGAGCAACTAGGTGCTGAAAGAAGGGGCCTATATTTTCAAAGAGCTCTGTGAACAGTAAAAAACAAACAAATCGGATGTCTAAATTTCTAAGAGACTAATTTACTCTAATTCTGAATACAGTTTTGTGTACATAAATTACCATTTTCCAATTGTCCAGGATAAATGAACTTCAAACTGTTCAACAGTCAGTGCTGATGCTCTGTGTTGCTGCATACAGACCAACGCAGATGAATTCAACCTTAAGCCGTAGCAGGCTGACTGAGCACATTTTTCTATTTTTCAGCAAAACACGTACAGTTGCACACATTTGTCTGGTAGCTGCCCAGTAAAACCACAGGTTTTTTTTTTTTTCATTCTTGGCCGCTGAGCAACTCCACTGAAGCAGTTTGGGCAGCGCAACAGAGGGGATCAAGAGTACCAGAATAGTCGCTGAGAGTCACTTCACCCAAAGAGATTTCTTTCATCTTGTGTGAGGAATGAAACCACTGACCTTCAAAGCGCAATCTCCCTCCTCTGATCTTTAGGCTTCCGTCGCTCCCTGCCTTATATGCGACACTGATGATACTGGTGTGAACGTTTCCCCAGATTTATACATTGTAAGCTCATTTTCCTCTTTTTCTCTCCCTTTCGCCTGTCTCTCATTCTGTCACACACACATCTTCTTCTGAGTTCAATGGCAGGCTGCAGACCAAAATAAAAGGTGTTTCCCATTATGCACTCTTCCAGAGTATAATCATCTTCACGGGCTGGAAAAACATCATTACTTTATTCAAATGATGTCAAACATTATGCCCGTTTGAAAGTCAAACACTTCACAATGGAAACAGAGCCAAAAACAAATTCTCTCCAACACGCTGAAGACCAGAACGAATCATTGAGGATATCAATGCTCGATGAAACCCAGAACTGGAACTACTTAACCACGAGCACTACAACCGGTTAAAATCCAAATGAGCTTCATTTGATGGCACGACTAACAAACACACATGATGATGTACTCAAATTACCAAAACTATTACAAGCAACAAGTCCTCGCAATTTAAGAACAAAGCATGCTTTTCCTTGTCCTTCCTGAGTGGACAGTCTTGTCTACAGCCCTCGCTAGCGACTCTATGATGCTGTATTGAAACACAGCAATGCTTTGAGCTAAACACTAATGTCATCGTGCTAACATGCCCACCATTATTTGCTAATTATCACTAAACACAAAGTACAGCTGATGTTAATAAGAGAGTCAATAGTTTTGTAGGTATTTACTCACAAACCAACATATTAAAGGTCAGGAGATCGCCAAAGTTATTACAATTCATCCACTGGGGACCATGAATGTTGATGAATGCCTTAACACTAGCATGGCTAAATACACATTCTCCTCCTTATGTATACTGCAGTTTTAGCTTGTCACCATACAGGACCCTGGTTACTGTATAAACAGCAGAGGTAGTTCAAGATACACATGTGTTTGCACACAGGTTGTGTTTGATTTGTCTCCTCAGGCAAGACTACATAAATGCTATTTTTAAAAAGCACATTTTGTAAGCTCCTGCTATCCTGGAACACCTGTATTGTGACATAAGCAGATGTGAATCCGCCGCATGGATGGGAATGAAAGGTAGGGGTCTTTCAGTCTGTTTACCTGTGATTCAGGCGAGATATTTTAGATACAGTCTATACCCGGAGGCAGGCGATGGTGGTGTGACTTCACAGAGTTCCCCTGATACAGTCTTTTCCATTACAGCCTCGCTGTGGGACATGGACATATATTAGTATATCTTTGACAGAAGCCTGAGTGATCTGACAATATTATAGAGTCTGATTTAAGTGGCTCCAGGAAGCTCGCCTGAAAAGTAGTGCACAAATCTCAGTAAATACTAGTTAGTTATTAAGGCTCTTCCATCTGGCGATTACTTCTACTTGATAACATTTTTAAACATTCATTAATTTCCACTCTCCCCTTCTTATTCGTTCAATGTTTTAGGAAGTTGTGTAGCTTTAGTTTCAGTCGTCTGACAGAGAAACTGCAACAAAGTGAAGATAGCACGATCTTCCTCGGACAATCAGGCACAATCAGAGCGATTGTGTCACGCTGCAAGAAATCATCGCGTTTTAAGCTGCTGGAGTTTAGTCTTGGTGATTTCACAGACAATAGCAAAATCAAACAAATTAACTTTAATGTATCGAGTAAAAATGAAACCACTGTGGGGGGTGTGGGGGGGGGGGATGTTGGAACTGCCTGGAGCTGCCTGGATCATTAAGCTGGAGTTACGGGTGTCCAGAAGGTCACGTCAAGGAAAAGCCTCAGAAGGACCCTTCGCTGGGAACACTTTTCCCACAAAGGCAATATCATTTCCACATGAACAAATTGTAGATGTGTAACATGGATTTTAAGGTAGATTCAGTCACTTTTGAATTGTATTTCTGTCCTTCATCAATCTCCTTCCTAGAAAAAGAGAGAAATGCATTAACTCAAATGTAATACGTTGCTCACAGATACAAGACTTCAGCAATTTATTTGTTTAAACGTCTGCTCCGTAATGAATCGTCCAAATGTGGAGGGCTGTTTTTAACCTCAAAGCTTTGTCCACTGGCTGTTGACAGCTCAGATAAGGGAGAAGTGCTCCAGACTGAATGAACTCTTGAGTTCCAATATAGCAGCTCAGGAGCGGTCAGTGACTCTTTCTCTCGGTCTTGCTCAGGAACATCTTGTGTTGCAGCCTGATAATTCTCCACCCGGTATTAATTAGCGACAGAGGAGGATTCCTGCGTGGTGGACAACAGATAGCTTCATTTCTGGAGCACTTCATGTATTGCGAGTGGTTCAGCTCAAGTGCTGTGAAATGAATGAATCAAGAAATAACACTGTTCATTGTTTTCCTGTTAAAGCTGAACCGTAGATTAACATTCAACTCTCATCTCTCATCTTAATGCATTAAGGCTAGGGACACACAAGAGCACGATTGGGCCAATTTGCACAAGATTTTGAAAATCAATAGAAGGAACAGTGCAGTTTGATTGGGACCAATGATTTGCAAATATGATCTTGATATGAGACTTCACAGATCCAATCTCAACCACCCCAATTGAGTTTTTGTAAATGTTTAATCCGCCATCTGCGCAAGACTCGTGCTGTGTGGGGATCAGAGACTGCTAACATCCATCAAGAGCTCAGTTTGCGGCGAAGTGAGGCACACCGAGCTGCGTGTGACTGTTTGCCTCTGTTGTTATGTTTTTATGGGAATCACTGGATAATGAGATTACGGGGCCCGATATAAAAGGACGTATCGGGAGTCAGCGGGATAATCTCATATCATTAGAGTTTGCAATGTGAGCATGTTTACAGGGACACAATAATACTCAGCAAAATATTCATTGAAATGCATAGTTAAATGTCTCCCAAACTGTCCCCAGCCTGTTTTGTTTGTCATGCAGCAGTTGATGTTGACTGATGTTCAGTTACATAAACTAATCATCTTATCCGTTTGTTTTTTCTATTTTGTTTTTCTGCAGAGATTGAAAAGAATGAAGGAGATGAATTGAGAAAAGATGGTGACACGAAGAAATACCTAGATATCATCAGCAATAAAAATATCAAGCTGTCTGAAAGAGTTCTCATTCCAATCCAACAGTACCCAAAGGTAAGAGACACAACATCGACATCTTGGCCAAAAAAAACACACTGCATCTATTTATGGTCCTGTTCTTTTGGAAAGAAACTGACCAGAACAGTCAAAGTGTGAGGCAAGATGCAAGGGCTTAATTTGAAAAACACTGAACTTTTGTGTGTGTGCGTTACATTAATTAATCATTCATTTGAGTTGTCAATCGGTGGTGTAGTCTGCGCACTGTTGCTTCACCTCTTTCCACAAAAGCTTTTGCACTGAAAATCCCCCTAAGCCTCAAACAGGCTAATAGAAAGTCACCAGACAGTGTCGCATATTTTGATGTAGTCATCAAAAAAAACAAAGTTTTTAGTGCACTAAAGCACTCAATGGTACAGTGAGAAACATTGTCCATAAATCACCGTGTGACACGATACGCTTTATTCTGACTTATGAAATGTCAGTAGTGACAAAGTTTGAAATGTAGCCTAATGAGGCTGCTCCATCAGGCCGCTTAGCGACAACACGCAGCTGCATGTGGCGAACCAAAAGGCTTTACTGCCGCTGTAATCAAGGAAACCTCCGCTGAGTTTGCATTCATACATTCAGGCAACGCAACGGGCAGCCAAGAATAATAGCATCCGCGTTGCAACACAGCTTGTAACAGAACGTACTTCGATATAGTATATTGATTTGTGTCCTGCTCTGCTAGTAAAGTATATACTGCATTCGTTTTACAACTGTGTGTAGACAGACAGATCACTCGGGAGTACTTTTCTTTTCTGTAAATACTTTGTTCAATGCTTTACTGTATTATTTGTATCTTTTAAATGCAGTATATATATATATATATATATATATATCTGTGTCCAGCCATTATACAATGTTGCAAACTGACTTTTATTTTTGACCATTTCAAAAGTCCACGAAATCTGATCAGAGGCTTTGGTGTGACCTTGCCAGCGCCTCCAATCATATAAAACCTGCAGGGTCTGTGCTGTCAGTTTGCAACAATATTGCTATCATCATCATCATCATCATCTCTTCTCCTAAATTCGTAAACCTTTATGGTTGACCGCTGCTCATCTCTCTGCTTCCACACTCTCTGACACTTTTTTGTCTCCAAGCATTTGTTTGAAATGGATCACTTCTGGTCACCTTTCCTCTTGTTGTCGCTGCAGGTTTGATTGCACAGTAAAAGAGTTCTGAGGATGAGGTCCTCAATAAAACACTGACAGTTTCCATTTTTAGTCTTTCTCCTACACACTCTCAAGTCAAGGTGTGTGTTATATCTTGCCCCAACGTCTTGATTCATGATCTCACAGCTACTTATTTTCAGCCATGTGTTTTAAAAGTAGCTGATTTGTCTGCCTTATTAGAGAAGGTCTAGAGAAACGAGAATGTCAGAAGGGCAGAGCAACATTTAACTGCGCCTCAGGAGCACAGGCGGGGTGCTTAAACCCAGTGAGCCCCTCAGGACACTCCATAGAAATCAATTTGCTGTTTCATCCTCAGGATCATTGCTGAGAAAGTAATTAAGCAGTGTTCAGGAACTCCTCACTCAATTACATAGATTTCTAATCTATAAAAAATGCCAATTGAGACAGTTTCTTGGGAAAAGAAGGGCCACAATGACTCAGGGATATCTGTCTGCCCTCGTCTTTCTGCCTCATAATCTGCATTTTCTGCACGAACCATTTTTCGTTCAAAAGTATTTTCTAATTGCAAGCATTGATTTTTCCTGAACTTACAGCACATACACTGTATTCAAAGCTACGACAAAAATCTTCCAGAGACTTCTCGCAATGTTTGTAAAGCACGGTTCATACGTGGGTTAGGACAGATGTGAAGCAGTCATCATCATCATCAACGGCGCTCACTCGAAGTCGAGTATGACGCTCCTTATTGTGGGTCTTCAAACTGCAGAAGAGGCCAATTCTGGAAACACAAACCGTGCTGCAGTATGGGCATTGATGTGCTGGAAGTGGAATGTGGGAGAGTCTTTGTGATGGGCACACTCTCCTTTCTTTGCTGCTACTTGACTGATTGGCAGCCTGTCGGAGATCGTTATTCATGGAGTGTGGCTCCGTCATGAAAACTTTTTCTCCAAACTGTTCCAAGCTTCCCAGGTAGAGCTCTATATGTGGAATATTTCGATGTTGATCCTGATGTTGTCCTTCAAATGCTTTTTCTGACCTCAAGGTGCTGGTTGGCCAGCATTTAGTTCAGAGTAGAGGACCTGTTTTTAAGGAGGCATGTGTCAGGCATTCATAATACATGGCTGTTCCATCTCATCTGGTGTTGAATTAATGCTGGTGGCGATGCTGGCGATGATTGCCTCCTTAACAACACTGATGTTCATGTGCTTCTCCTTCCAGCTGATACCAGCTGATTTTTCACAGGCATCTCTGGTGGTGACACTCCAGGACACTTATACGCCTACCGTAGGTAGTTCAGGTCTCTGCACCTTATAAAGTGTGGGCAAGAAAACTGTCTTGTAGATCAGCAGCTTGGTCATTGACAGCAGGTCAGAGTTTTCCAAAACTCTTCTGCGGAGCTTTGCAACAGCACCACTGGCACAGCTGATGATGTATCTTGCTGTCGATGGTCGCCCTTGAGGAGAGGTGACTTCTAAGGTAGCGGATTGGTGGGTCAAACAGACACAGGACTTTCACCCAGGAGGATGCCGTTTGTGTGAAACCAAAAGTAAACGCTGACTTCACACTTGTTACATAACGTTGCTCAAGAAAGTTTGCTAAGGGCAGTTGTTATTTATTCACGCTAGTTACCTTGTTACGGTTGTTACGGTTGATACATTACATTGCAAAATTATTATTTGAACACAAACCATGATGTTTTTTTATAACCATAACCAAGTATTTTGTTGCCTAAACCTAACCAATCGTTTCACAACGTTAACCATATGTGGCATTGTGCGTTTTTGCAAGTAGGATACAAGGCTGATATGAAACATATTTATCAACATATTCATGTTTTTTTCAGCTCGGAGTCTGTACTTATGATCATAACCAGAACAATTCACAGGCAAAATACACAGGCTCAATATCCTGGTTCTGTGTAATGAACATAGTAGGGTCGGCTGTGCAAAGTAAGCAGTGCAGTCCAGAGGGACGGAGCAGTTGTCCAACAACAACTTCTGTGACCTAATTGCACAGTCAGCACCCCACAAGACACTGCAGTGCCACTATCTTAAACATCTTGGTAACACTGCACTTTCACTTAATGATAATTAGCCACATGAAGCAACCCTTTGATAGAGGATGAGAAAAAAGAAATGGAGCCTCACAATGTTCAGAACACATTTTTTTACAATACTTGACACAATCAGAAACAGACAAGACTAGACAAAAATATGAGGATATATTTATCCTGAATTTGTGATAATACTGTGTAAGATTGCATGTTAACATATTCATTACACCTGCAAGAAGGTGTGTAACAACAGCACGACAGATCAGACAACACAGAGCACTTATCACTTTTCTTTAACACTTCTACATGTAAAATGGGCTAGAATGGAGATAAACAACATATGAAAAACATAGTAAAAAAAATATTTGACTTTTTAATCTGACAATATCAGGCCCTACTGAGAGTCACAAACGAATCAGTTTTATTTTACTTCACATTGGAACCTCACTTTGCGTCACAGCGATTTCAATAATGTCCGGTCTTACTTTCCGTCACTGGTGGCGAAGTATAAAATGTCATAAATCTGTTCTTCACGTTTCAGCAGTCTAACAGTGCTCATTCATGCTTACATCTGCCATCTTGCTGCACCGTAATTAAATGCAAAGTAATTAAATTATTACTTGGGAGAATTCTTCCGCCTGGTTTCAGATTTGACGAAGTGACATATAGAAGATTAATGTCGTCTAACAGGGAAACATCCAGTCCTGACGAAATCCCTCTTCATGGTCCACCGACCTCTCAATGAACACATGTCATAGCAGGGAAAGCACAGGTGTTGTTAATAACATTAATTACGGATGCGTTTCACTGGCTAGTTTTTGTGCACGTTGGCTTACAGACACACCTTAATGTAAGGTCTCGTTAATATTATTAGTTAATGTGCTGCTCCTGTAATGACAAGTCAAAATGTCTATTCTGTCATATTACGTAGTTCCACGCTTTAGGTGAAATTTTATTGATGATGATGTCAACTACAATGCATCGGTAAATATATTGTACATGTCACACTACCCTTCCTCGCTGAATGATGCATTCGACTTTCATTGTTAGCTATTTGCAGGAGAGCTGACAAAGGAACATTTTACTCGAAATAGGATTAATGCTTAACCCAACCTGCCAGTAAAACCGTATTTTACCACAGGTTCTAATTAAAAGTTAACGAGTTTAGGTTAGTACGGCGTTTTTACAGTATGTTTTGTTGTTTTAATTTGGTTGATGAGATACTAAAACCAGATGAAATATCAGACCTGGTAAAGCTGCAGCAGCTGGATAAACCCTGGAGGGATGATGCATCTTGTTACAGACCGGCACTAGTAGTATGCATCATTCACAAGGGACAACTTGTGTGTTTTGTGCACCACTCTCTGTAAAATCGACATTAGCTTTGTTGTCTTTTTACAGCCTGTCAAGATTAAGAAAGTTGGCCTTGGCGCATTGCTCCAGTGACCTTCCCATCGCTTACTTTAATCTCTTCTGAAAAAACGGATGAAACCTTGAAAACAGGTGATCTCGGTTAACGGGAGAAGAGGGGGTCCATTTGTACTTGTCCCGTTTTGACATGTAAACAAATGATACACTCAGGGTGCTTATGGACGCCTCGAACCTGTAGGCTGATATCACTATTTACTCAGCAAAAATATGATTAAGCTGCATAGTCATTTTCATTAACGCTTAACTAGAATTTATCCTCTGCTGTTTAATGAGACAGCTTGATTAGCATCTCATAACCTTGGGGCATGAAATGGATTTTCAATGGCTGATACTGTCTGCTTGTCTGAGTCCAGTGCTGGGACTACTCTGCATTTGTGTGTGTGTGTGTGTGT